GGTTCACTATCATGATAGAAAAAATAAAAATCCAAATAATCTGTAATATTATTGGTCCAGACCTGGAATCTCAGTTTCATTCACTTTACCAACAATATAATGTAGCTTTCCTGTGCCTTTTCTAAAATACTTTCATGGTATTTTTATTTTTTTTCAGATGAACTCTTTGCTATGATACCTAAACTTTGAAAGTTTAAGCCAAGTACTAGGATGGTGCAAGGTCTCCTCAATTTACTGTCTACTTGGCTTGATGTAACCAGAAGTTCTATGCTAAGTTTCTTTTCTTGCACTTCTCACCTGTGGAACTCTCTTCTGGCTTCATGCTTTCCAGTCAACTTTGCATTTAAATTTTTTAGGATCAATGTCAATCGTTATCTGCTGTCTTCCTTCATATTGCATCCCAGGTACGACGGTAAACTGCATCCTCATCCCGGTCCGACGGTAAACTGCATTTAGGGTTCCAGCTATGGGCAAATAGTTAACACCCAAACTTATGTAAAATAGGTTTTAATACCAGAAATACTTTATTTAAAAAAAAAAAATATTACCAGTAATAATTTTTGAAAGAAAAATTATTATCAGAAATAAAAAAAAAAAAAAAAAAAAAAAATACCAGCAATATAAACAGCTATAGATTTCTTGAAGGAAAAATATTCTCAGAAATAGATTTTTGAAGAAAGAAATATTCCCGGAAATAGATTTTTGAAAAAAAAATATTACCAGCAATAAAAATTTTTGTTGGCATTAAATAACCCATTGAGATTGATATGGCATAAAACAAAACCATCTTAGAGAATGACCAATATTTTGTTCTGTCAAATTTATTTCTGGTAATATTTTTCCTTCAAAAATGTATTGCTGGTAATATTTTTTTTCTAAAGATGTATTCCTAGTAATATTTATATTTTAAAAACATTGTTGGCAATATTTTTTTTCAAAAATTTATTGATGGTAATAATTTTTTACAAAGTATTTCTGGTATTAAAACCTATTTTTAAACTTTCATAATGTTTTTACACCAGTTTTGGGGTGAACTATTTGCCCATAGCTGGGACCCTAACAGGTGCTACCACCCTGGGTCAGGGTGGACCTGGGAACACCAGCAATTAAGAGGTGGTTCCACGCTCCTCAAAACCTCCTGATCAGAGGCCTTGCTGCTGGATGTAGCTTATCGTCCTACACAGGACACGCTCTGGGATGGTAATTATTTAACCTATAGTTTGGTGAGAGAAGAAATTGATGTTTATTTTTCCCAAGGTTATGTGTGTAAAAGCAAATATAATGAACTCTGAAGATGTCTTGTTTGGAGCTGTTAAGTTGCACCAACATGCATCCATTTTTGGAAATTTAACCGTAGTAAATTTATTATAAGAAAACTGACTGAGGTAATACTGTAATTTATAATTCATGAAATCTTTTGATATGGTGTTAGTTCGAACAAAAAAAAAACGGAATTTCTACCTGACTGCTTTTTGGAAATATTCTGAAATGTTACACGAAAAGCCATTAATGGTGTCAGGTTCTGACACGCCTTGACTGTGCGTAATTTGCTCTGTAATTCTTCAAATCCTGTCATCAATTTGCTTCTTTTTTTTTTTTCCTTTTCTTTTGACACCTGTATCATTGCAACCTTGTCAGGTATCGACATCAGCTTTTAAATCAACTCTTTTAAACACAATTTAAGTTGCAGCAGAAATCAATTACAATGTCACTCTCGTACATATAATTGTATTTCTTCAAAGGTAACTTTTCTCAGTTCCTATTTTAAATAGTTTTTTTTCCACTATATCTCCTCTTAAATGTTATGTGCCTTTCACAATAAAGGTATTTATGGCTCTCCACAGTTTCCTTTAATATCTTTTGAAAAATTCAAAAAAAAATTTTCTAGTTTATGATAACATTGGTAAACCAATTTTTTATATATATATATATATATATATATATATGTTTGAATAAAAGACAGACCACGTTAAGATTCCATGTAATAAGCTATTTCACCATAACCCCTTTAACAGGGTTCTGGATCATCAGACTTTACTTCCAAAAGCTAAAATGAAAAGAAATTCACACGTTTTTTACGGACCTCATCAAGTATACGCAAAGTTAACAAAGTGAGGTGGGAGAGAGGATATGAGTGTGTCATATGTATCATTTTAGTTCCCTATTTTAACCTGTGTGTCGGCTGAAATCCTGAGAGCGCTCTCTCTCTCTCTATATATATATATATATATATATATATATATAATCAGGATTTCATCCTCCTTGGGATTACCAAGTTCTTCATAACTTTATATATATATATATATATATATATAAGCTGTATTACAGCTCAATAGTGTGGCTAAACATCTGATTGCTTCAAGCCGGGATCGAATCTCTACTGATTTGACATCAGTCAAAGACTCTTACTATTAGGCTATCGGTGCACAGCAAAGAAAGGGAATTTTTAACGCATTATATATGTTATATATAAAGGCCATACTGGCTGCCATAGCACTTAATTCTTAAAGATTCTGAAGAGCTCTGTATTAAGGCATGTGCCATCAGTAATTTTTCAGGGTAGGCAGCTTGTGACCATTCATGTAGTAAATCTAAAAAAAAATAAAATATTTTACATTTTCTGTGTAATAATCAGAGTAACCTTCACCCTTTTGTTGGATTGCACCTATTGCACCACAGAAGAAAAATGTAGATGCTTATCTATTTTATTCAAAGTAAGTCTTGCTTACCTAAATGAAACTTGTTGACTAAGATAAGTTTTCCTTTTGTCTTTATTCATATTGTCCTTTTACAGATATACCCTATCTGAACTTGTATATACAAGAGATAGACATTAGGAAGAAAGCTGAAATTTATAAGAGCAAAGAGGGTTTGTAAAATCTGATACTCACAGGACAGATTTGAATGCATGAGGGACAGAGAAAAACAATGCATAATCTATCTAACAAGCTTGGGTAAACAGATGAGGAGCAAGGTTTAGGAGAGATAAATAAAAAAGATAAAATGTATTAAGAGCTACAAAGCAGAGGAAATTGTGGAGAGCCATGATTGCCGTTTTTTCTTCTTACTCTACTGTTCTTGATATCTTTTAACTACCTGCCCCAGAAATTGAACTCACAATTTATACCACACCACAAAATTCATAAACCTTTTAATTTCTTTACTCAGAAGGTTACAAAGGCTGATTGGTTTCTTTTGTTTTATGGCATATCAACACCTCAATGGGTGATTTAATGCTGACAAGATTTTTACAGTAGATTTGTATGAATAGAGTATGTATTGTTTGTAAATCAGGTTTCATTGACATATTTTTTTAAAGGTTTTTTTTTTTTTTTGTCAAGTGTAGTTTGTTTTGTTTTATGGCATATCAACCTTAATAGGTTATTTAATGCCATTAAGATTTTTATTGCTGCGAATAATTATTTAAATTTTTTTTCAAAAATCTATTGCTGGTATTTTTACTATAAAAACCTATTTTTACACTTACATAGTGTTTTCACCCCAGTCTGGGGATTAACTACCTACCCATTGCTGGAACCCTAATGAGAGCTTCACCCTGGTGCAGGGTTGGTCTGGAAACAACAGCAGTCAAGGAGTGTTTCCACACTTCTTAAGAACCTCCTGATCATCAAAGGCCTTGCTGCTTGATGTAGATTATCATACCCAAGATGCCTTATTTGTGAGGGGGGGTATGTCCTACTCCTCTGTAGAGTAGTAGTCAGCATATTCTGAAGACCCAGCCAACAGGGCAGACAAAGGCTGAAACATTTTGGTAATAACAAAGATGGGAACACTATTCTGACTGTAAACAATGTAATGTTTATAGTCAACCTTTTCAACCAAGCTGTAATATGAGTCATAGTATATATGTAATTACAGGCAGAGAAAAATTGGAGTTTGTGTCTGTCCTTTCTTACTTCATATGTTCATTTTTATGCTTGTTCTACTGATAGCCTTGGATATGATAAACTACATTTGGCAGCAACACCTCTGATTGGAAGATTGGAAGTCTTAAGGGGTGTGAAACCACCTCTTAATTGCTGTTGTTCCCAGGTCCACCCTATTTCAGAGTGGTAGCACCTGTTAGGGTCCCAACTAACAGCAAATAATGACACCACAAACAAAAATCGAAATACAAGGAAAGCGTAAAAACACCAGCAGTACATTTTATTAAAAAAAATAATTACCAGCTAATGCATTTTTTTATCGACAAACTATGTATCAAAAGAAAAAACAAACCAAAAACATACATTTATCCTGAAAGTTTAAAATTGCGTACAAAATATCTGTAGTTGAAAGCATAAAATTGTGTTCAAAACCTATGTACCTGAAGACATTAAATTGCATTCAAAAATATTTAAATTTTGGCATTAAATATTGTTGATATGCAGCTAAACAAAATCTACCAAGCCAACCAACCAACCGTTCTACTGAGGAGATTAATTATTAGAGCTGAGAATAGATGCTGGTTTTATTTTCCATTCGTCTCAATCACTTGACCTACTAGTATTCTGGCTTCATTCCTCTGGAGTTGGCAAAACCATCTTTTTGCTCTACACATGATCAGCCATGCTTGATTTTATCATCTCCTGCCACATTTATTTTTATGCAAATTTTTTTGTTGATATGTGCACATTTCCCAGACTGGATTTCATCCTTTCCTGTCTTCAAGCAGAAGAATTTTATATCTGTACTGGCTTTAAATTACAATGTCTGTTTGCCAGCAGGCAGACACACGTGAGAGAAAGTGAAGGTTGCTTTACTTGGAAATTCAGGTGGTTAATGTGCAAGCTTGTAGTGGAGGAAGGGGGTTCTCATGATGTGGTACTAGATTTTAGAAAATTCTCCAATGTCAGCCATCTTGTTACTTCTAATTCTGTTTAGTATACATTTTAGCATTCCAAGAAATGATTCAATTTTTTTTATTTTTATTTTGGTATTCTCTGATGCAGCTTGTTTTTGGCACTGTCATCATGTAACCTGTCTGCCATTTGACACCTATGCATTTGATTACACGTTTTTTTTTTCCCTCTCTCCTGTTGGGTTTCATTCTTGTCCTTCCCAATTCTCTCTCTCTCTCTCTCTCTCCTCACTCCTCTCCTCCTCTCCTCCTCTCCTCCTCCTCACTCCTCCTCACACACACACACACACACACACACACACACTCACACACACCATATATATCCTATCCCACCCATGTATCAATCCCCCCGCCTCTGTCTCTCTCATGCTCCCCCTTTCCACTATGACCTCCTTGCTCTCTTATAGATTTCTATTTTGCTCCTCTGTTTCTCTGCATAAGCACATCTCTGTTGTCTTCCTCACCGCAGTCTCTTGCTTTTTTTCTTGTGTGTCTCTCCTGCCTGTCTCCCTTGTGTGTGTGTCTTTCTCTCTCTCTCCCACGTGTGTTTGTCACGTGCGTCTTTTTCACTCTCTTTCTCACCAACCCAATCTTTGAAATTATCAATGGTCAACTGCTTTTTCTTCATTATTCTCTCTATACCATGTTTTATGTGTAATCACATTATTTCAATTGACCTTAAAAAATCTGCTCAGTTCTTTGTTTCCCTGGGTTTATCATTCATTGAATTACACGGATAAAAAATGTTTACGATTTCCAAGAAACAGAACTTGTACACTATTCCCAACTTCGAAGCGCCACCAACGCATTACGTCTTTGAAAGACCCACAGTCTAACTTCTCTCAAATTGCTCAATTTAAACAAAAACCGCATGTTTGCATTGCATCTCTGCAGCTTAACAACTGCTTACACTGAATCCTTTCACCATATGTATCCTTATAACAGTATACATCATTGCCTACAACTCGGGCACAGGTGACACTGGTATGTGTTGCAACATCAAAATATAGTTGAAGATTTTGAAAGGTTTTTATCAGAATATTAATTACTCCCTCACATATGTCATTTCATGTTTGTTTTTGTTTTTTTGGGTTTTCTTTTTTTTTAAGTTCACTTAGGCCTAAAAGTTACTCAAGCTGGAAGGTTACTTAATGAGGTTATTGACTGGATATATCGATTAGTTTTTTATGACTTATCAACCCTTTTTAGATTATTTAAATTGGAGAACATAGGCTGTGGTTTGATCTGGAGAGGGATGGGCCATACCAGATCTAATTGCTCAAGACGTGCTAGGCATGAATGAATACTTCCCTGGCTTTCAATTATGTTGCACAGTAACCCTGTGATCATACCCAGTCATGGAACTGATCATGATGTCCCATCTGAATATAGGTGATCATGTCTCTCCAAAGATCCTTTTCCTTTATCTGAGACTTGGTATACATATTTGGGAATGGTAGTGGAGTAATTTCTCAATGTGTTCTCCATGGTTTTGAATTCATTGTTGTTTTTCCTTCAACTTGTTACCACCCAAAACTAGAGAGGTCATTCTAGCCTGATATTTAACCCATAACTGGAAGCAAAAAAATGGATTTGTACCTTTCACAAGTGCATTTGTGTCATAGCGAACACAACAGACTATCCTGGAAATTGAACTAAGCTGGCCAATTTAATTTCCCACTCTAATATCAGTCCACTATCTACATGTCCTCCCCTTTTTTATATGAGGGACTTAGTATCTGTGGTAGGGAGTTATTGAAACCTATTTTTTATGATTGAGGGCTATTTTCAAATCCTTAAAAAAAAAAAAGGTCTTTCCTCTTAATATGAATTTCTCTTCAAACTGTGGCCTTCAGTTGGAAGGTGGAAAATCTGTTTTACTCATTTAGTTAGTACTTTCAAATAGAATTGTCAGTTTGTGGAGTCTGGCTTAAGCTGTATTGCTGGCTTGCTTTTTATATACAGTAACGTTTTGTTATTTATTGATAGCTTATTTTAAACATTACATGCTTAAATACATTTTCTTTTTTTCTTTTTTAAATAGACCTTGTTGAACTTGCTGTATGTCTTTGGTGCTGTTAAATATATTTCAAATATTTAAATCTGGTTACCGACCCCTTTCGAATAGCCACAATATTCTGGTGTCAAGAAGTCAGGGGACAAACTTTGTAGCATTGTGATAAGTCTTTGGGTTTTCCATTGGGACCTCCTGGCTGACTTTATAAGTAATTCCAATTATGTGAGAGCTGATTGTTTAGTAATGGCTTTTTATGGATTGTTTCACCAGCCAAAAAAAAAAAAACAAAAACTAGATCACTTGGTCCAAGCAAGTAAATCATTCCTTTTTTCAACAAAATCCACTACACTTATATAGCTTGTAGTGTGTGTGTGTATATATATATATATATATATATATATATATATATATATATATATATAAAAAATGACAAAGTGGAAAAAGTATTCTTGTTTGTGACGTATTTAGTCCTTTAGGATTTGCTTGGACTAAATTTGTTGGTGCAATTACACATGTACATAAATGAGGGATGCTGGGATTTTTTTTTTTTTTTTTTTTTCTGGAGCCCTAAAAGATAAAATATGTCAAAACTTTACACTTTGAAATTGAAATATATATATCTCATTAGCAGACAGTACTGTTTCACAGCTCCTCTGTATCATTATCTCTCACACATATATATATATATATATATATATATATAGTGTGTACTGTTGACCCAAGCCATGTTACTAGTTCAACCATAGAACCTATCCTTATGTGTGGAAACAAAATGTCAGTTATTCCCCCACCACATTACCTTCTAAATGCTACTGGGTGGGGCAGATGAGGAATATCTTTATAATCAACAGTGGATCTAAAACCCCTTTCATCACTGTAATAAATGTTTCTATCCTTTGTCCTCTTCACTAAATTTTTAGAATCTTGTAATTGCTAATAATGGTGCAAAAAATGATTATGGCCCTGATAAATAATAATAATAATAAAAGGCTTAATTGTTTGTTGACAATTTCATGTTTTTTGCTTTGTGACTGGTGGTAAAAGTAAAGGCCATATTTCTACATGCAACATTAATGATTATGGGAATGGCTTGTTAACCTTGATCACGTTTTGTGTGCTGCATATGAAGACACCAATTTAACAGTAAGTTCAGTTATGTACCATGCGTGATGTCCGCTTAGGCAATCATGTATCTTTCGATGCATGACTGACAAGGCAGATTTTTTTCCCCTCAGTAGGTTGCCATTTCTTTCTGTGGTAGACTAGTTGCCATCCGAGGCTATAGAACCCAGTCTGTCCTGCTGGAGAAGAGGATTCATACCTTTCCCAAGTGAATTTAATGGATTTGACTGGAATTTGAACTCTGCTCTCTAATTCCTCAGTCTGAGCCGCTATCCATTGCTCTACCGTGCATCTTCAAAATTTAAAATATAACATGGTTTATTGTGGATATTTCCTCCTCTCCACAGTATTTTTGTAACACTTTTTCTTGACCCCAGATTTAGCATAACCACACTTTCTCAAATTAACATTGTATTGCTCTATTGCATCTCTCTCTTCTCTGGCTTTTTCCCGCCTCTCCTCTCTCTCGTCATCTGGCTTTTTCCCGCCTCTCCTCTCTCTCGTCATCTGGCTTTTCCGCCTCTCCTCTCTCATCTGGCTTTTCCGCCTCTCCTCTCTCTCGTCATCTGGCTTTTTCCCGCCTCTCCTCTCTCTCGTCATCTGGCTTTTTCCCGCCTCTCCTCTCTCTCGTCATCTGGCTTTTTCCCGCCTCTCCTCTCTCTCGTCATCTGGCTTTTTCCCGCCTCTCCTCTCTCTCGTCATCTGGCTTTTCCGCCTCTCCTCTCTCTCGTCATCTGGCTTTTCCGCCTCTCCTCTCTCTCGTCATCTGGCTTTTCCCGCCTCTCTCTCTCTCGTCATCTGGCTTTCCCGCCTCTCCTCTCTCTCGTCATCTGGCTTTTTCCCGCCTCTCCTCTCTCTCGTCATCTGGCTTTTCCCGCCTCTCCCTCTCTCTCGTCATCTAGCTTTTCCCGCCTCTCTCTCTCTCGTCATCTGGCTTTTCCGCCTCTCCTCTCTCTCGTCATCTGGCTTTTTCCGCCTCTCCTCTCTCTCGTCATCTGGCTTTTCCGCCTCTCCTCTCTCTCGTCATCTGGCTTTTCCGCCTCTCCTCTCTCTCGTCATCTGGCTTTTCCCGCCTCTCCTCTCTCTCGTCATCTAGCTTTTTCCGCCTCTCCTCTCTCTCGTCATCTGGCTTTTCCGCCTCTCCTCTCTCTCGTCATCTGGCTTTTCCGCCTCTCCTCTCTCTCGTCATCTGGCTTTTCCCGCCTCTCCTCTCTCTCGTCATCTGGCTTTTTCCCGCCTCTCCTCTCTCTCGTCACCTGGCTTTTTCCCGCCTCTCCTCTCTCTCTTCATCTGGCTTTCCCTTTCCTCTCTCTCTCTTCTCATCTGGCTTTTCCGCCTCTCCTCTCTCTTCATCTGGCCTTTTCCTCCTCTCCTCTCTCTCGTCATCTCTCTTTTCCCTCCTCTCTCTCTCTCTTCATCTGGCTTTTCTCTCTCTCTCTCTCCTCTCTCTTCTTTTCCGCCTCTCTCTCTCTCTTCTCCCTCTCCTCTCTCTCTTCTCCCCTCTCTCTCTCTTCTCCTTCTCCCTCTCCTCTCTCTCTTCTCTCTCTCTCTCTTCTCCCTCTCCTCTCTCTCTTCTCCCTCTCCTCTCTCTCTTCTCCCTCTCCTCTCTCTCTCCCCTCTCTCTCTCTCTTCTTCTCTCTCTCTCTTCTCCTCTCTTCTCTCTTCTCCCTCTCTCCTCTCTCTTCTCTCTCTCTCTCTCTCTCTCTCTCTCTCTCTCTTCTCTCTTCTCTCTCCTCTCCTCTCTTCTCTCTCCTCTCATTCTCACACAATACAAATTGTGCTGATAGATTTGACCTGTGGTTACATCTTAAGTGAGCAACTGTTTTCTGAGAGGTGAAGCCATTGTTCCAATGTGACCCGTGTGTTCAAGAAGCCAACACTTGATGCTAAATGTCTTCCTTATTCGATTCCAACAATAGAAATGGGTTCTCAGGCGAAATTACAAACTGGCATTCTAAGCAATTTCTTTTTTTTTTCTTTTCTTCCCATCCCCCCCCCCATTATTGACTTTGGCTTAGCTTGTCTTCAGACTTAACGGCACCATTTGTAAAGACTTGTCAGAAGAATTTTTAACCTGTTAACCTGAATGGTTCAATAATGTTGATATCAAACTCCATCCTGTTGATTTATTGGTTGAGATTTAAATGGCACAAAGTCAGATAGGGAAGAAACCAGGAAATAAAGAATGATGCAATATATAACATGCAAGGTGAAGCACTGTCTACATAAAATATTTCTGGATTTTTACCTATGCTTGAATTCTAACCACTGACTTTGATGAGAAATGTTTGTTGTGGAGTTGCTGGTAATGCCTTGCTTTTGGGGCCAGCATGCTCATCTTGGTTGCTATGCTCACATTTTTACCTTCCTTTTTCAGGTGTCTATCTTAAAACTTTGTATACATACAATAGACCTCTTCTATCAATATAGCATGCATTCATTCCTGACCACTGACAATCCCTTTCTTCCTCATTTTCAATGCATTCCTATATTAAAATCATTAGCAATGCATTTACATTATACATATAATAGCCCTATTCTATCAGTAATGCTTGCATTCATTCCTGACCACTGACAACACATTTATATGGGGGAGATGAGGTTGCTGAAAAGTTATTGCCAAATTCTGACCAAATAAATAACCAGGAATTTTTTTTCCAAATTTGGATTTTGTACTTTTTGGCAAATTTTCTTATCAAATACATAATCATTAGTGACTTGTTCATTTAATATATTTATTAATTAAGGTCTGCTTTGGAGAACACTCCCAGGTGGATGTTTTCCCAATCACTGCAATCTTACAAGAGAGTAAGATTGTAGTGATTCAGAAAATGTCCTTTTGTGATAAATGGTTAATCCTAGTCTTCAAGAGACAAGTCTAGGATTCACCATTTATTTTTCCTACATATCCTCATAAACTGCACTTCTTACCTCCTCCTCCTTACAACAACCTCATTCAGGTTCTTAAATGTGGCACAAGGCCAAAAGGTGGGGATAGGGGAAGGCTGGTTTTCAATCTCTTGAACTTAGCTAAACACGATTACTGACACAAACATACCACAGTATTCCTTACACCAAAACACATTCTTACTTACCATTCTTATTACAATCACCATAATACCTCAAAGTCTCTATGAAATTCTAACTAGTTCCATATGTACAATTTGTCTGAAGCAGGAAATAAAAATAAACTCTTTTTACCAAAGAGGAAAACTTGTCAGAAGAATTACCATGAAAATATTTATAGAAAAGGCACAGGGAAGCTGTTACAGCAGTGGGAAAGTGACTGAAATTGAGATGCCAGGTCAAGACTGATAACATTGCAGATACTTTGCATATTATCAAGAATCTCTAATTATAGCAGTATTTATTTTTTTTATTTTGCTGCAGTTTATTAAACTTGTTTTAGGAATTGAAAAATCCCTACCAGTATGACTATTCTGAGATATATAAAATTTCACAACCTTCTTCAGACTGAAAGTAATTTCAAAAAAGATGTCGGTCATCAACTGTGGGTCATCAGAAGAAATGAAGTATCCATCACAAATTGAAAATATGAAAAATTGACTCCATTTTGAATTTGGATCATCAAACATTGATTAACTACAAATTATTTCTAAGGTTCTTTGTTTTAGTTCTTGATTAAAATTGGATGGATTCTTTTCTTTGTACTTTTACTTTTCTTTATTTTTTTTTCTCTTTTTTTATTTTTCTCTTTATACTGGGAAAAAGATTAATATAATCATTATTATAAAGCTTTGATTACCAAACCATATGTAATATGATGTCTGGAATGTATCAAAGCATTTTAGAATATCATGGGACTCATTTGTCATTTTCTGTAAACCAACCAACACTTTCCCCTGGCGTTATTTAACTGGAACAGAGACTTTACTGAATGGGCATGTGTATCTGTAATAGTCATAATAAGCAGGCATTTAAGTTTTTTAATCATTATGTCAGGGTATGTGGATATTGTAGTAACTATTAGTGCAAAAAATAAAATCATTAAGTCAAGTTCTAGCCTGTTGCATTCACTTTCACCCCAAATGACTTGGGTGGGGGGAGGCATGAATCTGTCTTCACTTCCCCACCACACCTATAGATTAAATAACATTTGGATTACAACCAGTCTAAGAACAACTCTTAATTCCAAACAATGGAGAAGGCAATGGTAAACCAATCGGTTATCTCTGGCAAGAATATATGACAGTTCAGTTCAAAAAAAAAAAAAAAAAAAAAAGTTATGTGGAGTCATGATTCCCTATATCTATTCCCAACCTCAAGAGTCAATATATGGCGCTGTGGTTTCTGGCTATCACTGCCAATGAGAGAAGAGTAGATGCCAGATTCTACAAAATGGAAGATATTGCCTTTCTCTTGCTTTTTATATCTCCAGTGAGTGTTCATTTCTCCAAGACTACTTTCCTCATTGTGTCCCAGGAATTTTAGCTCTTACTGATTTGTCTGTAGTTTCTATTCTTAGAAACTCTTAATTTGTTATTTTAACTATTTACATTGTACAGACTGTTCTCATCTTCATTGCTGTATTCACAACATTTCAGCCATTGTATGCTCTGGCCTTCTTCAGATGATTGAAATTTCAAACTGAACCCTTTATTTCGTCCACCAACGTAGATTGTTCTACTTCCACATACCATGCCTCTTTCAGATATCTCAGTATTACTTAACTCTCCAAGTTTTTGTTTCCCTTAGCTGTACCCAGGTATTGAACTCACAATTATTTGGGTCAAGTCACTAGATTCAACCACTGCTTTTATCTGCTGGGACATGTGCTCTTGGAAGAGGCATGGCACATGGAATTAGAAGAATTTACTCCAGTGGACTAAACGGGTTCACTTTAAAATTCCAATCACCAGAAGAAGGCCGGAGAATACAACGGCTGAAACTTCATAGATATGGCAATGAAGATGAGGACAACAGTCTGAATAATGTAAATAGTGTAAATAATTACAATATCACATCTCAGAAATATAGACCAATCCTAATTTGTTAATAACATCTGCAGAATCACAGTTTTTTCCAAAAGTTTTATTATTTATTTCTAACAAAATTATTCAGATTTCAGTTTAAAAAGAAAAGGAAATAAAGCAAACAGATGAGACCAGATGAAAGACTAGTCAAATATTAATGGCCGTGACTTAGTTTTTATATCATTGACTCTGGAACAGGATAGCATCTTGGAATGAGAAATCTGTTTGAATTCCAAACATTCGTTATTCTGACTTGTGTACAAATACCTTTGGGAAAGATAATCTCCATCCCCCCCAGCTATGGCTAAATAGCAATATAGACTGGGCCCTATAATCTTGGTTATTAGCCAGTTTAAGCTCAGGAAAATTCTAAATAGAAACCAACCTGGAGAAGTAAGAATTTTATTTGAAAAAAGCCATTGTTATTCTGTAAAAATGAATAAAATGTTCTCTCAAAAAAAATTACACTACAAAATGATTGAACTTTAAATAACCTACAATGGGTTGATAAACTGTAAAAAATAAATAAAATAAATCTATTAATTGTTCCTTTCTAACAAAGATAACACAGGTATGAGATGTATGAATTGGCAGAGACAGATTTTAGACAGCTCTTAGTGCATGCAAGAAGATTTTAACTTTTCTACATGTTTTCTTTGGTTATTTTTAAAAAGAATTTTTATCATTGCTGCATTAGTAAGACACTATATTCACAATGCTTCATCTGTGAAATTCACACTACTACTACTACTACTACTACTAGATGTAAAGAAGCAAGAGAAATAAGATGAAAGAAAGACTCGTCAAAAAATGAATGACAATGATTCATCTAAGAAATTCACACAACATAACAACGTCACTATTATTAATATTATGTTTAAAAAAGCAAGAGAAATAAGATGAAAGACTAGTCAAAAATTAATAAACAAATCAACAAGAGTACTAAGTTTGGGTTTTTTATATACTCATTGTAACATTAAATACAAAAACAATTTTTTTTTTCTTTTCAACATTTCGTATGTGAACAATAATTGTGGAAGTACATAACTTTCCGCATTCTTGGAACCAGAAAACATTAAATGCAAAATGTTAATTCTAAGATGTACTTAGAAGATAGAAAGGGTATTTCTCATCAGCCTTGTATAAGAATTTATATTAGCCTACACTTTAAATGCTGTTTTAGTCCAAGGTGAAGGTCATAAACAGGTATGAGCAATGAAAAATACATAACATTTGCCCTTTTTTCTTTTTTTTTTCTTGTTGAATTTGATGATTAAACTGAATTTGGTTACTTTCAATGCTGTATTGGTTTAAGATTTTTGTAGCCAGTGTGTTGCATATTGAAAATAAAGAAGAAAAGGATTCTTTGATCAGAAATGAATTCCTGTATTACTACTAAAATATGAATATTATATAGGGTGCGATGGATAAATTGTCATCAAAAATTATGAAAATTACACCAGCATCTCATTTTAACAGATATATATTTGCAAAAATCACACAAAAGTATCTTTATGCTAAAAAGTAAATTTATTCAATAAAATAGTCACTAGCTTCAACCACAGCCTCCAGACAACTGCAGGATCTCTTTCAAATCTTTTGGACAGTCTCTTTGTTCAAATTGGTAAATGCTGCCATAGTCCTTACCTACAGTTTATCTTTATTACAAGGAGTTTTGTTGGTCTCTTGCTCAACTGACTCCACACATAAGTCAAGGGGGTTGTAGTCTGGAGATGTAAGGTGTGATGTGGTTGCAGAAGTCTGACAGCCAAACTGGGTTCTCTTGCTTGTGTGGCATCGTGCAGAATCATGTTGCC